TACAATTTATAATCTTAAAATATTCTTTAAATTCTACAAGTATCTAATATATTTGAATTAATCTAATAATTTATTGTATCTTAGAATTTAAAATAAATTCAAAAGTAAATCATGTGTAGGGTATCATAATCAAATTTTATATAAGAAATAATATTAAAGAAAAATGTAATTTTTGTAAGTTTAATTGACTCCTTTATTAATAACTTAAAATTGCAAAAGAATTAATTTACTATTTGAGCAAATTGATATTTTATTTATACAAAATTAATTTGATATAACTAATTAACTATTTTATTATGTTATAAATTAACTACATTTGTAAACTTTGAATATTATATAATAATAAAAATAAAATAAAATACAAGTATAAAATACTATAAATTTTTCTATAACGTACCTTCCTGTAAATACATACATATTGGTTAATTTTAGAGATTTTATGATATATATTATCATTATTTTACAAGATCAATCATTAATATTTGGAGATTTAAAACTGAATTTCTTTATAGATTAAATAAGAGTTAAAAAAATATTTTATTAAATGAAATAATAAATATAATGAATGATTTCTTTTATTGTAACTTATTTGTTTTTAGTTATAATATAGAATTATGTTAGATTTTTTTTTTATATTAATAATTATTATTATAATGCAAAGAAATTTAAAAATTTTAATATAACATCATAGTAATATGATATAATTTTAGTGATTATTGTGATTTTGGTTATTATTTTATAAAACTTTTTTTATATTTTAAAATATCATATAAGAAATATGAAATATAAATTTTTAGTCTTTTATTTTAAAATTTTATTTGATATTATTTAATATATTTTATTTAAAATAATATTGTAATTATTAATAAATCAATATAAATATCATATTTTTGATATGAGTATATTAATTTAAGATAGTAGCTAAAAATAGTAATAAAAGTATTTTAAAAACGCAAATAATTAAAAAATTACTAAGATAATAGTGTATTCATAAAAAATTAGCAATTATTACATATTATGAAAAAAATGTAATTAGCATTTATGAAATATGCAAAAGTTTAATATTTAATTCAAATAATTATGAGAATGAATAAATCAAAAACAAAATTTAATTAACACATCTTCAAAAACTTTTAAATTGCATATGGAAAGATTGTCTAAATATTCACAATTAGAAGTTACCTTATTTGAATAGATTACTTGTCAAAAACAACTAAAAAATCCTGTTACTTGAGCATTGATAAAAGTATTCTTACTTACTTAAAATACAGATTTTCAAAATTTACCTAATATTTAAAAATTTAAATTTTCAAGTAAATAGCTTGATGGGTTTTTAAATTGATATAATTTATCAATTCAATAATATACTATAATTGTATAGCATTTACCTGAAGATTTAGAAGAAAAAAAATAGGGATTTTTTAATTATATTTTAAATAAGTATAATCAATATAATTACCCAATATACTTAATTGAAAATGTAGACGAAACTCCACTTACTTTTGATTTCAAATTTAACAATAATTGAAAAATGTGGAGCTTATATAATTAGCATTTGAATTATAGGTAATGAGAAAAAAACTTTACTGTAGTTCTTTCATGTATGACTGATGGAACTAAATTACCTTCAGTCTATATTTTAAATTAAAAAATATACCTTGAAAAAGCTTTTTTAATGGTATATTTATTCATATTAATAAAAAAGGCTGGTCTAATGAAATGAAATGTTATAATGGATTAATATTTGGCTAAAAGATTTATATTAAATAATTCACATTTACTTTTAATTTTTGATTCATTTCCTTCACATTTAGTTGATTCAATTAAAGATCAACTTGCTATAAAAAATACAAATATAGCTGTAATTTCTGAAGGATTAATACTAAATTACAACCATTAGATGTTGTAATTAATAAAAGTTTTAAATTAAAGGTAACTTTATTTATACATTATAATAATATCATATTATAAAATAATTCATTTTAATGTTTAATTTTTAAATGATTTTAAAAGATCTGTGTCTTATATAACCAATGGATATCAAAAGAAGTTCACGAAATAATACTTTCAAATCGTATTAAAAACTATTATATTTTCAACTTGCTGAATGGGTAAAATTTGCTTGGAAGTCTATTGATCCAAATTTAATTAAGCATTTATTTAAGTATTATGGGTTATCGGTTGAAAGTGAAGAATCAGAAAACAATTAAATTATAGCAAAAAAGTTAGAATAGACATTAAATAAAATTTATATGGTTAAATTAAAATAAAATACTAAACTATCTGGCATAGTATTAGCATTTACTTTGAAATATTAGTAATTTTTTTTTTATAATATTTATTAATTTCTTTTCTTCAGATTTATCGTTATCAAAATTAATATTCACCATGAACATCTCGAAATTAGCCAATATGTATGTATCTACAGGGGGGTACGTTACAGAGAAATTTACGGTATAAGAAAAATAATAAAAAATATTAAAGACTTTTAAAAATGAAAAGTTAATTATTATCATAGGTATAATAAATATTCATAAGATCAGGTAATACAATTAGATTTTCCTGACGTGTATTCATTGCTGCGCATCATCACCTGATGATTTCCACGTGATATTTTCTATATTGTGGTGACGTCCATTTCTAACACTAAAGTAAAATTTTAATGTTGATAATGACTTTAAAATAACCTTAAATGATCTTAAATGAAATTAATATTATATTAATATACAAATAAGTTTGCTTAGTAAATCGAAATAAATTAATTTAGATTGAAAAATTCAATGTTATGTTCTATCTAAAAATTTAATGATATAGCGTAAATTTATATAAATTCTAATTCACTTTTATTATTATCGCTATTAAACAAGAATATAAATTTGAAATTAGTCTAGGCATTTTTTAGTGACAACGATTTTCATACAAAAAAACTATCTTTTAATCAAGAGGAAAATAAAATTGCTAATTTCCTAAAAAAATTTATAATTATTAAAATATGAATACTATTAACATCGAATATCCTGACATAGAACAAATTCAAAAATGGAAGAAATTTTCAATTAATTATACAGCAATTTATATTTATTCATGAAATACCTTAAAACTACGCAAATAGGTCAAATAGTAAACAGCTTTATTAGTAGAAATAAAAGAGAACTAGGTGGAATACAGAAAAGCAAGATAGCAATGTTTATAGGGGAGAGCAAATCCTATTGAGAAAAATTATTTGAAGAAATGTTGTATTCGAAACTCAAGAAATTACACAAAAGGCTAATAATTTTCTTATATATAAATGTATTGTCAAATCTACATATTAAAAAAATTACAAACTCAATTGTCGCAAATAATTTCTAGATCAATAAGGAATGTTGAGATAGATCAGAAAAAGTGCATTTTTAAAGAAATAATTGTACCGAATTATATATAAACTAACATTTAAATTTCCATGTATATTACATCCTAGTATAATCATCTCTTGATTAAACGAGTTCTTTTTTTTTTTCATAAAAATCTTTCGTTTAATTTGCAATAAAGGCTCCAATTACAAGGAATAATTCCTTTTTTTCAGCGATTGAAATGCGACGTTCAATGATTATCTTAACACGTATTTCAAATTCTGTCATTCTTTTCTCAAATTCCATCAACTTGTTTCATTTCGTTTCTCAAATTCCATTAAAAATTCTTTCAAGGTATAATTGATATTATATTCAAGGTATGACGTATAAATATTACCGGCAGATGTATGATCAGTTGGGAGGTTCGCTATTAAAATCGAGTTACGAACATAGTAAATCGTATGATCTGTAATGTGATTTTAATACCTTACCTCCCAATTGTTGAACTAAGAGACGCCTCAGTTGACGGATGATGAGAACGAGGAGACGCAACATTTGTATGATGAGTCATACCACGAGGAGACGCTGAAGTTGTATAACCAGGACCATTAATGATGCGAAATTTTATTAAACGCGAGTAGCGGTTAAAAAGAGTACGAAACATTTTTGTATTTGTAATTAAGACAAGTTGAATAGAAAGTTTTTGAGAATTATGTCTCGAAAACACAACTTAATTTATAATGAAATTTTGAATATACTTTTGAGAAAATTCGTCACTGATATTAAGAGATGATTCATGATATTACGCAAGAATTTTGACTTTGATTATTTGGCATGGAATGAAATTTAATTAACTGATGCGTGAGCGAAAACGGCTAATCTGCTCCTGCATTGACCTTATTTGGGCGTTAATTGTATTTAATCGATGAAATTATATTTTTTTCTTTTACTAGAATTTGAGAAGTATTTTATTTTGAATGTTTTATGATTGAAGATACTAAATAAATTTAATTTTTTCCGATCCAATGTTTGCATTGATTCCGATTAATCATCATCATCGATTTTTTTACTTTTTACTTTTTATACCAGGAAACGTGAATATAAATAAAGCTTTTTTTTTTTTTTTTTTTTTAATGGGCGTTGTAGTCATCTAATTAACTTTAATTTTCATTTAGAAATTGGATGGGAAGATTCTTCACCTATCCAAATAACGATCCCAAGCTAGTAAATCATATGAACCGAAGAAATACCTTCAAGTTCAAGAGAATCATCACCATCTGTCAAGGTTCAAAGAACTCCGAACTAAAATTATCACAAAAATGGTTCTTCTAAATCATTAACTACTTTAATAATATATAATAAATTCATATTAAAATAAATCCTATGACCATTTAACTAGTAATTAATACAATAATGAACGTTTGTTATATAATTATTCGTTTCAAATGGACATGAATTATTAATTATATACATGATTTTCCATTTTAGAATTAAATTATATTTTTTCGATATTTTTGTAAATGCACAATATTGTTATTTCAAATTCTAAATTTACTACCATCGACATTATTTTAATCTAGAATTAAAAAAAAACTATTAAGTTATCGTTCATAAAATATCATTAGCACTATAATAATACTTGTCAACCTAAATTATTAATAAATTATCTCACAAAACCCCAAAACTTAATACAACAGGATTAGAATTTGCATCGACTGCATTTTCTTTTAAACTTTGTACTTCATCCGGACTTAATTGTAATATTGTTGATATTACAGGAACCAAAGGCTCACGATCGGCAGGATTTGATTCAAAGAATTTGAGAACGACATTCTTCAAATATTCTACACTTAAATCTTGACGCTTTTCTAATCTATCTAACTTACGAAGTTCCTCTTTCAATATCTAAAAAAAAGATGGCCGAATTAGAGAACAATAATAGATTTCAACATCAAAAAGATGGCCTTTACCTTTTCTTGTTCTAATAATCTCTGAACATGTGCCTCACTATCATTCAGCATTTCGGCCATATGCTGCAATTTCAATAAATTATCCTTGTCTTTGTCTTTTTCAGATACATTGGATGTACGTTCTTCCATATCCGCTAAAAGATCGGATAATGTATCTTAAAAAAAAAAAAAAAAAACCTTTTTAGCATATTACATTAAATGTAGATAAATAATAAATATAAATTAACATTACTTACTGTAATTACCACTAGTACGACTCGTTACTGAAGAAGGAGATGAAGAACGGCTATTATCATTTCTAATAGCATTCCTTACGACTGATGCTGACGGTATTTTATTAGCAAGTTGTTTTTGAAGTTCATCAATATGTTCATTACGCCGTGATAATTCTGACCTTAGCTGTGATAAATCCTCACCAAGTTGCTACAGTAATAAAAAATCTAAAGATCTTAATAAATATTTAAATTTAAAAAAAAATTATTCAACATATTTAATATATCACCTCTGAAATTTTCTGTAAAGCTTCATTTTCCTCTTGCTTTTGTATGAGACTTTTTTCTTTTGCATCAATTGCCTTTGTAAGTCTATGATCAAAATCTTTAACGTTAGCTAAATAACGAGCTTCCGTCTCTTTGAGTGCTAAATTAATTAATTTAAATAATAAATTAGAATATTAACATATTTCATATTAAAATGATGATAACAATGCCTAGTTTATAAAGAATTTTAAAAACCTGCTTTTAAATGTTCGTTTTCCTCTTGAAAACTATCCAATTGTTTTTGGATAGATTTTACGGTCTCTGAATTTTCTTTTGCTGCCCTCTGCGCTTTTTCAAATTCTTTTTCAAGTTGTGCGTTAAGTTCACATGCGCGTTTTCGATCCCTTTCAGTAGTTCTAAGTTTATCCTGAGCATGCTTCAATTCAGATGTCTTAAAACTAAGAAAATGTAAAACAATTTTTCTTATATAAATAAATATTTTTTCACAACCTAATTAAGCATTTTTCATTTAATAGATTTTAAGCCAACCTTAGATCAGATTCCAATTTTTTATTTGAAGCTACTAATTCTAGAGTATCTACACTTGAGACATCACCTTCATTATTTGAATTCCTTTGTTCAAGTAATGCATGGGCTCTTATTTTGTACTGTTGAAACTCCGCTTTTACTTGATTAACTTGTTGGTTTGATTGTCTGAGTTTGGATTCCTAATAAATATTACAAAAACACTTAGCAAATGTGAAATATATAAAATCAATATTTAATAATTACCAATTGCTCTATTTGTGCGTTATACATCGCCGACTGACTATGCAATTCTGTCGTAATTTTCTCCATTGACTCTAGAAAAATCAAAAGATAAAAAACATAAGCAAACTATTCTAAAATAATCTTATCAATATTTTTATAATAAATCTTTATCACGAACTTTGGTTTTCATCTACCATGTTTGTAGTTTCTTCATGCTTTTTTTCCATGCCTTCCATAGTTGCTTTAAGTTGTTCTATCTCTGAATCTTTTGATGCATTAGCTTGCCTTAACTCCATCAATGTTTTATTAGCACCATTAAAAATGCCTATATATTTGCATAAGTATAAAATGTTTGAGTAATTTTATTTTTAAAAATAAAATAAAAAATTTAAGTAATTTACCCCTCATTTTTTTCATTTTCTCATCATATTCATTTTTTGTCTTTTCCAACTCAACTAAAATTTAAAATGCACGTTAAAAAATCACTATAAATAAGATATTAAGTCTAATCTAATCAAAATATATATTCACCAGTTCTCTTATTTAATAATTCTTGAATTTTATTGATCTCATTTTGCTTTCCGTTTAATTGAATTCTAAGATCTTTAACCTAAAAAGAAAAAATATATTATTACTCGGAAAAAAAAAAAAAATAAATAAAACAAATAAAAATAAAAAAAAAAATAAAAATTTTTTTTACCTCTTCTTCAAGAGTAAAATTTCGACTTTCAAGTTCATCAATCCTTCCGCGCGAACTAGGAGTTGGACTCTATATGAAAAAAAAAAAAATTTGATCTACGATATTTAGAACTTTAAATCAAAAAATCAAAATATGATATAAATATCTTCTCTTAACGATCTCACTAAAACATACTCCAGTTCTGATGTTCTTTGTTATGTTTGCCAACCTTTGTTCCAATCTAGTCTGTTGTTCCTCTTTATCCATATTTTGTAATTTTTTTTACTAGAAGAATAGAACTAAAATGGTAGAAAGATTTATATTGTGAGAACCCGGAACGATTACCTTTATTTAGTAAGTTGAACAACATCAATGGTACCCATCTTACCAGAAATAAAATTTATAAAGAAAATCCTCCTTTAAAATATAAACCTATAATAAAATAGATCAATAAAAACCCATTATTCAATCAATCTTGTTAACAATGAACAATTCAATTGTGACAAGTTATTTTTAACAATGACGAAAAAAAAAAAATTATTGGTTACAATTAAAGTTGATTTTTTCTTAAAAAAAAAAAAAATAATGATTTTTTTTTCACAAAGAAGCTTGCAAGTTACCCGGATATAGAAACGACCCGAAGAAAAAAAAAAAAAATTGTGCCTTGTAGCCTATAGCGGTTAAAATTTCCTGAAATTACAAAGAAATATGTAAAATCTACGAAACATCTAAATTACTGACGACGATCTAAAAAGAAATAAATAAAAATAAAACTAACTTTAGATAACGCCAACAAACTTAGGCAGTGCAGCGTGCAGATTCTTGATTCGCTTGTTATACTTGTTTGCACACAATCTTTTCGTGTCACATTCCGTGCATAGAAATTTCGGATAGAAAAGTGAATTGTTCTGTCAACGGAATTGACGGTTGGTAACGAGTTGTTGTCTCACCCATAACCATTTTTGACAGTTTGACAGCTGACAGTTCTAAACTATAAAAGATTTGAACCTTGTTTTACAGTTTTACAATGAAGATAATCTATGGGATACAGTTTCGAACAACCATAAAGAATAGTTGACCTAAATTCCAACGTATCATCTGAATAAAGTCTCAATTTATATTAAAAAGTTGATTAATTAAATGCAGAGAACATAACAATTCACCTAAAAATAGAACTTTTGCGGGAGAATTATGCAGTTGGTAGTTATTGTACATCAATTCCTGGGGAAGTTGATGAAAGTTGGAAGCGGGTTTAAACCAATTTTGGCATTTATTTAGCCTAAATTCATAAAATATTTTGCGGCATCTCTAATTTACCCTGACCACATGAAGATGTACCTTGCTTTTTGTACGTGATAAAGGGATCCCTGTGTAAAGATGATAATTCGCAGAAAGGAACTTAAAGTTGCCGCTATAATAATGTGAAAAAAGGTGTCAATGAAGTGTTCGTTTGTTCGGATAATCTGCGAAGTGAGGAATAATGATTATGTCATATTCATGTGTTGCAGGTTCCACTCTTCTTCATTTTTAGTCTACTTGCATAACAGAAACGAGGTTTAATGTCGATTCATTACTGTGCCACGTGGATTGCATTCATTCTTTTACCTTTGTTCTTCATTAGAAATTTTTCGATTGTTGTTGACTTGTGTATCCAAATTAATTGTCCTACTCAATGTCAATACATCGCCCAATCAGTCATTTCCGATAAATAGGGTAGGGCTGAGGGTTTGGTATTTTAGTAAATTAATTTACGAATGACAATTTGGTTGATCATAAATCATTAAAACCCCTTTGTTCAATTTTTCGATTAAATTGTTCAAATTTTCATTCTTCTTCCATTTTAAAACTTATACACTTTTCAATTATTTTTTCTTTCTAAACGATAAAGCTTTCTACTTTTTTTTTTTTACATCAAAAATTATCGTTTAATAACATAAAACCTTACCTTTATTTTTTAATTTTTTTTATTAAAAAAAATATATATTCATATACTATTATATTCGTTGTAAATTTTTTGAAAAAAAAAAAACTATATCAAACTATGGTCACAAAAGTTGAAGATTTTAGTCTAAGTAGCCTTCATTATCTTGACGACCATGAAGATGATAAAAGTGTAGATGGTGACTTTGCAGACGATGATTGGCAATGGGAAGAAAGGCTTCGACTTATCAATGAATTTGGAACTTGGACGAGCGGGAATGATACTTTAGACAAATTTATACAACAAACCCAACTAGAAACACCGTACGTACCCAACACAAATATTTGTTTTTATTGTATAAAATGCTTTCCCAAGTAATTTGCTCGGTGGAATATCTTTTTTGGCCTCCTAATCGTTAATTAATTCTATTTTATCCATCAGGGATCCTCGCTTTCATATGCAATGGATACCTTTTGAGAATTTTGGCGAAGTCAAATTTGTAGCAAAAGGAGGACATAGTTCTGTTTTTTCTGCTACCTGGAAGAATAAGAAAGATCAAGTATGGGATGGTGCGAAACAGGTCTTTGTAGAAAAGCCACTTGTGGTTGCTCTAAAATCCCTAAAGAACTCACAGAACCTTGGTGATGAATTTTTGGACGAGGTTGGTATAATTCATTTTTATTTTATTTTTTTTTTTAATATCATTCTCATCGGATTTTGTCTAAACCTTTAATAGTTTAAGCGTCATGGTAGTCTCAAATTGGATGGGTGTGGATATATTGTACATTGTCATGGTGTAACACAACATCCAGAAACGGGAGAATATATGGTGGTCATGAACTATGCGGAAGACGGAGATCTGCGTCATTATGTACAACGAAACATGGCTACGCTTCGATGGAAAGATGCTGCTGAAATGTTATGCAATGTAGCGATGGGTCTATTAAATATACACAAGAATGGAACATACCATAAAAATCTTCACAGCGGAAATATATTAAAGTTCTATAGTTGTAATATCGCTGATTTTGGTTTATCTGGTCCCGCAAGTTCACCAGAGTCACGGGGGGTCTATGGATCCTTACCATTCATAGCTCCCGAAATTTTGGCTGGAGGTTCATTCAACGCTAAGGCCGATATATATAGTTTTGCGTTTATTATGTGGGAACTTTCATCAGGGAAACCTCCATTTTCTGATAGGCCACATGACCATTCATTAGCTTTAGAAATTTGTCACGGTTTTCGAGAGACAATTGTACCTGGTACCCCGTTATTTTATGAACAATTGATGGTACGATGTTGGAACGCGGATCCATCAAAAAGACCCGATGTAGAGGAAATAGTGGATATATTAACATCACCTTATGCATATCAACGTCGCCTACTTGGGTTAGACGAATATTCACTGAACACGGCCGATGAGATCGATGACGTGGATGCATTTGAGCGAATATTCGCGTCACGAATCTCAAACACGCTATATCCGGTTGCTCCAGATGTTCACCCATTTGCTTTTTATATTAGTCGTTTCTTATTCTTTCCCAATTTACCTATACCGACAAATTCAACATATTCGGCAGAACCCTTGCAAACTTCGTACTTTGATGGTAAGTGTAATTTTGGTGTTTATTGATTGGTTACTTTTAACACGATGCCCAATGAATTTACGATTATTCTTCCATTCAATTTTTTTTTTTTTATAATCACAGCAAATAAAAAATCAAATCTAGACGAAGAGATAACATACGAAGAGTATGACACACATTATCCACCCGAAGAATTTTCCGAATGCGAGAGCGAGAGCGAAAGCGAAAGCGATAGCGATAGCGATGACGAATTCGAGGAACCGTATATTCCTCCACCAAGTATGATGCATCGGAGAAGATCCATTGCACCTCCACTTATGATTCAAACCGCTTGACATTTTTTTTTAAAAAAAATCGAATTTATATTCTCGATGAAAAAAAATTTTTTTTTTTTTACTATTCACAAATCACACATCGTTTCGTACATTTTAGACACAATCATAATTTTTTGTTATATACATATAGACATTATAGATTTTTTTTTTTTTTTTAGCAAAAAAAAAAAAAATAAAAAAAAGCATGAACAAAAACCAAAAAAAATTAAAAAAAAAGTAAACTATGCAAAAAAACAAGAAAAAAGAAAAAAAAAAAAACAAAAAAAAGAACAAATAATAATTAAGATTTAATTTTCACCTATAATAACTTATATAAGTAAGGCGAATACTGTATGATATGCCAAAGGAAAAGTTCATTTATCAACTCTGTACATTAATCCTCTTTTTCCACATTTTTTTTTTTTTTTTATATTTTATTTGAAAAAAAAGTTTGTTTCTCCTCACTTGTAAGCTTTAAAAACTTTCTTCCGTTTTTATATAAAAAAAAGGCCAAAATTAAATTACAAAATAAATTTCTAATCAAAAAAAAAAGTTTTTATATCATTAAGGGAATTATTGTAATATGAGTATTTTGATTGTCGGGATATTAATTGAGATGAAAGGAATTGTGAAATGGATGAAGAATGTTTCTTTTAAAGCCATTTATTTATATATGAATCGAAGATTTACGATATGCCCATGCGGTTTACGTAATATATCTAACCAAGCCGATCGTTACAAACATTTTATCTAAATATTTTTTAATAGATGTCATCTAATGTAATGTATAAAGAACATCACTACTGTATACATAATTTTAAAAGCGAAATGAAATTTCTTTTTTGTTTAATCAAAAAGCGATTTATTTCTTGCTTGCTTATAACGTTTTCTTTGATAAGTTTTTTTGATTCTTACAATCATACAAAATTCGGCTTCCATATAAAGCTAAATTAGGAAATGTCAAAGTCAAGTGACGAAATCATTTAAACAATAACTTTTCTCACGAAACAAATTTATTCCCACATGTGGAATAATACCAAGGCCAAAGTTCCCTTCTTTTTAAAAAGAAATCTACTTCCATAAACAATCATTTTAAATTTTCTCCAACTCGAAATTACCTTATAGAAAGTATGATGAAGTAACAACTTCCTTTTTGTAAAGATTCAATCAAAAACAGAATTCCAATATATAAATGTGGTATATTCTGCACAGTTTGTAAAGGAGCAAAGATAAATGTACCATCGCAATTTTACTTTTAATTCATCGTAAAAGCAGACAGATATTTAATTAGAACTTATTAATGTATTGCCCGATTTATTAAATATAGAATTCGATCAAAAGATTAGGTAGTAATCCGAAACGTAAAGAATATCATTACCAAAATTCAATAGAAAGAAATTTAACTTTATATTTTTTATTTAGTTGTCTAAAATCTTAAAACTTGTGAAGGAATTCGAATTCCGTGATTCGGCTATTACGGAGTATCACAACCTATTATTTATCTGATGATCAAACTTTATTTTCTATAAATATTCCTTAATTTGATAAACCACCTTTTTTTTTTTAAAAAAAAAAATTTATAAACATGTTATGCAATAGGTGTAAGGAGCAATTAATTAACAAATATTGGTGTAAAGGTTGTAGAACAAAATATTTCTTGGAAAGATTCTCCACATGGACGAGTGAAGATGATGAATTAAATCATTTTATTCAAGAAAGTCAATTAAATGCAAAAGAAGTTCATGGATATTTTCGTTGGTTTAATTATAATATATTTAAACGTATACAATTAATTGGTGGTAATGAAGGGATTAGCGAGGTTTATTATGCCATGATCAAATATGATGAATTGGCTGAGATGAGTCACGATGAATTTCTTGTGCCAAAATATTTCATTGCTCCTGACTCGCATATTTCGGAATTTGTTGTGTTGAAACGAATCATTAACTCTGGTCGTATGGTTAAAGAGTTCATACATAGTGTGAGTATTTAAATAATTTAGTTCCCTTCTTGACTCGGTTATTTTGAGATTAATCTCTCCTTTTTTTTTTTTGTATCATCATAGATTAAGAATTATCATGTGTGTTTGGATGAGACGATTCCAAAATGTTATGGAATTACAAAGGATCCATTGACGCAAGATTATATGCTAGTCTTACAATACGCCAACATGAAATCCTTGAATGACCCCAACACACTTGTCAAATTTTCATCGTCATTATCTTGGGCAAAAAAGAAGGAAATTCTTGGTAATTTTGTGCAGGCTCTCAAAATCATTCATGAATCTAACTTGGTACATACAAATCTACATCTTGGCAACATCCTATTGAACGAATCATGTTCCGGAACTTCTCAATTAACTCAAAAGATTTATATAAGCGACATTGAAAAGTGTTGTTCGATAAAAGAACAAGGACATTCAAAAATATTTGGTGTGATGCCATTTGTTGCTCCAGAGATACTCAAAGGGGGAAAACATACAAAATCTTCAAACATTTATAGCCTCGGAATGATTTTTTGGTGTATCATTTCAGGAGAATTACCTTACACAAATTACGCTCACGATTCCTCCCTTGCTTATGACATATGTAATGGGAAAAGGCCTAAAATTCCTTTGGGTACTCCAAAGGACCTTGTTGAGATTTTAAATCAATGTTGGGAATCCGATCCGGCAAAAAGGCCTTCTATTAATTCCATTGCTTTTACTTTAAATTGGTGTATGATTTCTGATGGTGAATCAATTCCTTTTAATTTCAAGAATTCTTATCGACATCATCCCAATGCTTTTTATTCTGGCAGGACAATTGATTTTGACTTTCATTTATTTGATCAAATTAAACCTTACTTATAAAATGTTTATATTTAAATTAATTAGATATATTATGTATTATAAATATTATATATTATTACTTTTTTATATTTTTTTGAAGTTTATTACTTCAAAAAATTCTTTAAATAACAACATTTTATTAAATTACAAAAGTTTGAATTGAATGTGGGATTATTTTTTTTTTTTTCAAATATTTTACGATTTATCAATTACTACATAAAATCATTTAATTAATATAAATAAATGTATATATTTTTTTTGATATTTCTATTTCATTGGTATTCAATGGAAAAAAAAATTTATCTTGATAAAAAGAATAATAATAAAAAAAAGGTGTTGGACCTTTTTCAAAAAAAAATAAAAATAAAAATAAAAAAAAAAAAAAAGCACTTTACCGAAGTACTAAAGGAGGACTCAATTTTCAAACCTTAAAGAGGATTCAGGAAGAAATAAACGAGCTAAAGGAATAAAATGCACCATCATAGTAATTTAAAAGAACTTTTTTCAAGTATAATGCGATGGCAAAGTCGATAAGATGGTTAAATTTAGAAATTAACGGATATAAATTCAACGCTTGGCATCATTTGTTGTTATTTACCAGAATTAAACTCTAATACATATTAAGGTAACAAATATTATGTGATTTAGGAAATTCAAACTATTAATAAATAATTATTATAAAAATACCCCCATATGTTATTTTACTTTCTTATTCATTGTATCAGGTAATTTTTTTTGTTTTTGAAGACTAAACCTTTTCATAAACAGCAGTACATATCCAAACATATATTCTATGTACAAATAACGTGTTAACGTGTCAATGAGATTGATATCAAATGCACTTGCATACGAAAAATCTGCCTGATCGTGCCATAATTCCCCGAGGATAACTCATTTTTGGATATTGGATGCAGAAACAGCGTGATGACTGACACTTGGCTTATATCGTCAGGGCGTCAGGGCGTCAACAGACAATCCGTCGTCTATAAGCGTCAATAAATCTGGAATGGTTCCATTTGTTCTCGAAACTTTTTACGTCTGCTGATCATCTGGCTGTAACATGAGGATTTTTCATATAGTAATATACTGTATACAATATTTGCAATACTTATAATTTGACACTGTTGGTTGAAAGTTAAATGTACGTGGTCGACCTTTTTGGTTGGTCCTAGCACGGCAAGGCCTCCGCCACCGATTCGAGCTTATTTATTATACACATCTTCCTCATTCGTCGGACTTTAACGTTAATGTTAGTATAAATAAAAAAAAAAGAGGGAGAATAATTTGGCGTCGTTGTTAGAAAACTCGGGTTCTGAGAATTTTTGACTAAAATTAATAACAAACTAAAATGCAATAAAAATCGGCAATCTTCCCATCTGTTAGTATAAAAAAAGAATGAGCAAATAAAAAATTCCAATAAACATTTTTCAAATCTCAAACTTGTATTACAATCTTTTTTTTATTATTGAACGATATTATTTAATAAAAAATTATTCGAGCTTGAAATTGCAAATCGACAAAATCGTCCAATGAATTTTGGCCGGGAATTAAAATTAAATTTGTAATTCCCCCTGTTCTTTTTTTATTACAACATTTGCATTCCCATCCAATAGTTTTTGACAAAAATTTAACGGTGCCTTGGTTTTTCGGTGACGCCAAAATTCTTAAATCACATGTGCATGCAGGTTCATTTAATTATTTTCCGAAAAAAAAGAAAAAGAATTCCGAGCAAGAATTACCGTAAGTATGATGTAAGTTAAATTGATGAAATTATGATTTCGGTACAAGGTGCTATTTTTTTTGAAACTTTATAAAGATAAAAAATTTAGATGAACCAATTAATGGTTTCTCGACGCCTTCTTAAGAAAATAATATGGATATATATAGATATTACAATAATATCATATATATATTTTGATCATCTTTTTTTTTTTTCTTTTTTTTTAAAGAATAAGAATAATAATAATAATAATTATAATCATAATTAATGCAATCTCATCTAAAACCCTTTGAGAGATTGCAGAGCAACAAACATAAATATTGTTTCTCTCTTCAAAGAAAGCTTGCGACTTTAAGCTTTTATGGCGCAGCAGTACATGGATTCAAATTGAATTTCTGCACCGAAAATTGACTAAAAACCACCGTAATGTAAATAAACATCAAAGAAAATTGTGCAGCAAAATTTTCCCCATAGAAAGTACAGAAAACGTTCCAAAATCTGCAACAGCTCATGCCTCGAAGTTTGAAGTTTCGGTGCATTTTCCAGATTTTTTCCTGATGACCAGAAGTTTTCCGGACATTTTCTGTACGGACCTGTATGTTTTCTGGAACATGTTTTCTTCTGCAATATTGTAGAAAAAGACAACAAGGCAATCATTTATAGAAAAGATGATGATTAGTATATGGATGATTGTTTTTTCACTTTCACAATGCATCTTGTTCTTTGTCCTCTTTTTTTTTCTTTATGTTACCACTTTTGTTTATTTTCTTTGTAGATGTTCTGAATGGAAGTTTTTAAGAAGACAATTTCAAAGGAAAACTCAAAAAAAGCAAATTTTCCACGTGATTTTTTAAAGCGTGACACGAAATCAATGAATTTATCATTTTTAGATTGGAATAAGTTTGGCCAGAATTAAAATTGAATTGCGAGAATTGAGAATTCGGCATATCACTTTACTAAATTTGACTTGTCATGACTCAGTCACAACTCAGTCTTTGAAGATATTATTGGGAGTCCATGCGGGTGTTTTTACAAAGTCGATCGTATTCGACCCAAACGGCTGTCATCACCAATTAAATTATTTTGCAACTTTTCTTTTGACATTTTCTTTTTTCCAATAGAAAAGTTATCTCCATAAATAGTGTTGGATTGTCCATCTCAAATATTTGAACGTCATATTTTAAGGTATTTAAGATAAAGGTTTGATAAGGTTTGAATTTTATTATTATTGTTAAGATGATATGTGTGGACACTGATTCTTCTGATAGTTTATACCGAGAATTTCAATGGTTTAATTCTTTGCGGAAATAAATTTTTTTTTGGCCATTTTAAATTATTTTTAACCACACCACACGAATTATATAATTATTTGAACATGGCAAAATGTTAATGATTTACATTCTTAAAAAAGTTAATTTGATAAAGGTTAGCGATATTTACATCGTTAGGCTTTAAAACGAATGAACAACCATAACGAATTTCATATTCAATATTTAACGTTAATGTTTAGATCATATAATTTCAGATTTATTTGTGTTTTTTTTTTTTTTTGATTTATTTTTAAGGAATATCTTTAAAGAACTATAAGTTCGCGTTCAAGGAACAAGACGACCTACTTCCTATCCAACAGCTGTAGCTTTCTTCTCCTTTTTATTCAATGTCTTTCTAATTTTCTCCTTCTACTCATTATTCCCCTGTTAGCTCCACATTCTCCTACTTTTTCAACTGCTTCATTTTTATTCTTCATCATCTCTTCCATCATCCATTCCTGTTATATATTATAGGTCTATAGATCCAATCGGGACAATTCCTTTTTTTCGAAAATTTTGTGGTTTATGTTAACAGTTCATTGAGAATTTGTAAATCATATACCTCACAGCATTGGATTGGATTGTATTTACGTTTCTGAAGACAAAAAAAGCATTTCCGAAGTGGTATTCAAAAACCACATTACATTTGAGAAAGATTTTATTGAATTATTTTTGTATTTTATTAAAATAAAAAATTTAAGTAAAAATTGTACATGATCTTTCATCGGAGAATAATAAAAAAAAAAAAAAAAAAAAGGAAAGCGTGATGCGTCAGTTTCATACGAAAATGCCTTATAACTCCGCATCTGAATAGTTCAATCTTTCAAAAGTTGACAAACTTGAACTGTTAAATTAAATATCCATGATTTCACAAGTTAGCTTGATGAAAAATTAATACACGAGTGGTTTGTCATTCTTACTTGGAAGGAATTTTTCGTCAAATGTGTAACTTTGGTCACGTTGACTTTCACAATTTATAGGAAAAAAAAAGCTTTAGGTCTTGATAAAAATTAATATCAGAGTACTCTCACACCTTTGCTCAGCTTCTCAGAAGACCGAACTGAAATTACATGAAACGCGTCATTATTATTATTAAAAAATAAAAAATTTAGTTGTCTAAATAACATACCCATGTTAAAGATGAAACTGACGTTGATCACGTTTTTCAATGCTAGAATTTTTTATTATGATAAAGTATCCATAAAATTCATAAAACAAATTGAATCTCCTTGATGAAGACTCGCCCATTCACTGACCATAAACGTCTTGCCTTGTGTGCTCAACACGAAAAAAAAATCTGCCGGACATTCCCACATGATGCACTAAACAAGGCCGTTGATTCATGAAATAAAAAAACAAAAGAAAAAGAAAAAATTACTTGCTAACGATCAAATGTTTGATCATCACTCAAATGCAAATGCAAACGGATATTTTCATGGCATGCCAAGAACAGATATGGTAATTGTTAATGAAATGACGAAATGACGCGCAAGTGTTTTTTAATATTACATCATGTGTAAATTGTGTAATTTAGAAATGCATATAATTTAAAAAAATTGACCACCGATCGGCGGATCCGCAGCAAGTTTTCGTTGTTTTTTTAAACAAATGCTTTTATTATTGTTAATTAAAAAAATTACTAAAAATAGTCGGAAACACGAGCAACTTTATTAGTTACACATTTTTGGAGATGATCGGCGAAATGTTCGTGTCGAACAAAAATGTTCACCTTTTGTCTGAAAAAGATAAACGTCGTTCGTTCTATTAATATTTCTATCAAGAAAAAAATCTATTAAAAATCTATTTACAAAATATATATATTTTTTTTTTTTCTAAATTTACATTTTTTTTTATATCAAGTGATGTCTTTTATAAAACCGTGCAAGCTCAATTCGGGATTATTTTGTCGTAAATATCTTTCAATCATCTTAACATGTTTACTACGAATTTGCCTTGACCATCCAGTAATATATAAAGTGTTAAGTGGAGCT